CTGCCTCCGCCTCCCAAAGTGTTGGGATTACAGGTGTGAGCCACCACTCCTGGCCTGAAACAGTTTTTTAATCCTATCTAGGTGAGTAGTCATAAAAATTCTCCTAATTTCAACATCTATTTATTTTATTTTGTGTGGGAGAAACACATAACAAAATGTTTTATCTGTCAAAAACACATAACAAAATTTATAATAAAATATTTCTAGGCCGGGCGCAGTGGCTCATACCTGTAATCCCAGCACTTTGGGAGGCCAAGGCAGGCAGATCATGAGGTCAGGAGATCGAGACTATCCTGGCCAACATGGGGAAACCCTGTCTCTACTGAAATACAAAAAACCGGGCATGGTGGCGCATGCCTGTAGTCCCAGCTACTCAGGAGGGTGAGGCAGGGGAATTGCTTGAACCCAGGAGGCAGAGGTTGCAGTGAGCCGAGATCTTGCCACTGTACTCCAGCCTCAGAGACAGAGTGAAACTCCATCTCAAAAAATAGTAAGTATATATATGTATACTGTTTAGTCATATTATGTTGACATTGTTATGCATCATATCACTAGAATATTTTTATCTTGCAGAGCTAAATCTCAATATACATTAAACAACTACCAATTCTTCCCATTTGATAGCACTTTTAAAGCACCACTTTTTCCGATTTCTAAGAGTGTAACTGCTTTATACATCTCATACAATCTGTCTTTTTGTGGCTGGCTCATTTTACTTTGCATAATGTCATCAATATTTCTCATAATAGTTGTTAGAGTATTTTCTGCTTTTTGAAAATTGAGTGATATGCCAGTATTTTTATATCTACTGATTTGGTGACAGAAATTTGCATTGCTTTTATCTGTTGGCTTTCAGTAGCAGTGCTGCTATAATTATGTGAAAGATGATATATGTGCTGCATTCTGTTTTGTTAGTCTACTTTTTCACTTTTATACTCATACCAAATTGTTTTAATTCTGTAGCTTTTTGATGTGTTTTGAAATCAGAAATTGTAATGCCTCCAACTTTTTTTTTTTTTTTTGAAGATTGTTGGGTACTTTATTGCCTCTTTAGACTCCATGTTCTTTTGGATTTGCTGTTTTTATTTCTTCAAAAATGCAATGAGAAATTTGAAAAAATTGCATTAAATCTATAGATTAAATTGAGCGGTATAGACATCCTCACAATATTATTTCCTTTTTGATTGTTTTTGAAATGGAGTTAAATTAACCCGCCTCAGCCTCCTAAAGGAGTGAGCCCCACAGCATCCAGCCCAGTTATTTGAACAAGTGCATGCTCAAGAGTGTGTTGAATCATTTCTATACATTTGTAAATTTATCAATTATTTATATTATTGTCTTATACGCTAATTCATTTTTGTCATAGAAAGTAACTGAAATTTCAGTTTTAAAAATGTGTTAAGACTTTGTTTTTGACCTAACAGGTGGTCTATAAAAAGGAATGTTGTATGAGCTATTGAGAAGGCTGTGTATCCTGATATTGTTGAGGAGTATTCTCTACACCTTCAATAGAAATAATTGTTTTTTACTGCCTTCTAGTCGTCTGTTCCCTTACTAATATACTGTCTTGTTTTATTATTATTACAGAAAGTGGGGTATTGAAATATCCTACTATAATTCTATTGCTCTCTCTCTCTGTTTATTCAGCTTTGTTAGTATTTGCTTCATATATTTGAAACCCCAGTTTGAAACACACACACAAAAAAATACACACATGGATAAACAAATTTGTCTCAGTCCAGCGCGGTAGCTCACGCCTGTAATCCCAGCACTTTGGGAGGCCGAGGCAGGCAGATCACAAGGTCAGGAGATCAAGACCATCCTGACTAACACGGTGAAACTCCATGTCTACTAAAAAATACAAAAAATTAGCTGGGCGTGGTGGCAGGTGCCTGTAGTCCCAGCTACTTGGGAGGCTGAGGCAGGAGAACAGCATGAACCCAGGAGGCGGAGTTTGCAGTGAGCCAAGATCGCGCCACTGCACTCCAGCCTGGGTGACAGAGTGAGACTCCATCTCAAAAAAAAAAAAAAATCTGTCATAGGTTCCCAGTGAATTAATCTATATATTGTTTAATGTCCTTCTTTATCTTTTGAAGTTTTGACTTAAAGTACATTTTATAAAATATGACAGTTTTTGACTTAACATGTAGCTTGTGTAATATTATTTTGACCTCTTCTGCTCTCATTTTGTTAATATTTACATGAAATTTCTACTTCTCTCTTGCCACTTTCAGTCTTTTCTTGTCATTAGATCTCAAGTGACTCTTGTAAAAAGGCAAGTTGAATCTTGATTTTTAAAGTTTTTTAATGAACCTCTTTATTAAAAGTATGTCTCTCAATTGGAAAGATAATTATATATATTTAAATAGTTTTCTGAAAGAGAAAAACTTACTGTTAATAAAATAATTGTTTTGATTCTTGTATCTTTGTGTCTCATTTTCTCTTTTTTAAACTTTTTTGATTTTTGTATTGACATGCTTTGAGTTTTTTTCTTGCTTTCTTTTGTGTATCTATATAGATGTTTTCTTAGTACCTTGGGGGATTACCTAAAACCTCTAAAAGATCCAACAATATATTTTAATGTCGTAAAAAATTAACTCCGGTTGCATACAAAAATTCCTCATTATTACATCTGCCTTCAACTTTGTTATTGATTTTACTAATTATATCTTTATGTTGTCTATTCATTAACAGATGTTAATAATTTCTATACTTTTATCTTTTAAATTTTAGAGAATTAAAAATGTTTTCTGTACCATTATGATAAGAAATTCCATTTTTATGTATGTGCATATCTTTTCCAGAAATTTACATATTTTCATATGATTATGTGTTGTTTTCTTGCATTATGTTATTTTCTGTGGGAAAAAACTCCTTTCAGCATCCTTGATATATAGGGCATATGCAGTGCCAATATACTTTCTCAGCATTTGGTTATTTTGGAAGGACTTCTTTTTATTTGGTGGTACAATTTTGCTGATGGTACTATTCCCACTTAACAGCTTTTTTTTATTATTATAACTTTAATAACAATATCACAGTTTCCTTTTGACCTGCAAACATTTTTTTGATAAATTTATTATCTCATAAGACTGTGCTTATAAATGGCCATCATTTTTATCTTGCAGCTCCCAAAATTCTTTTCTGATCTGTGATTTTTGAAATTTTGTTTATATATGTGTTTGTTATAAATATATGTTTGGGTGTATCCTAGTTTGTTCACCTTTTCAGCTTTTTCATATTTACACCATTTTTTCTTTCTTTTAAGAAATTTTTCACTTAGTTTTTGTATTTTTTACTTCCACAATTTTTGTTTTCTATTTTAATATTTTTTGGTGTTATCCTCATTTTTCTGATCTTCAGTAATTGTCTGTGTTCCTATTTCACTTCGTGAATATTGTTCAATTTATTTTATTTCATTTATTTTATTTTTCCTGAGACAGAGTCTCGCCCAGGAGTGCAGAGCTGTGATCTCAGCTCACTGCAACCTCTGCCTCCCAGGCTCAAGCGATTCTCCTGCCTCAGTCGCCTGAGTAGCTGGGATTACACACGCCTGCCAGCACGCCTAGCTAATTTTTTATATTTTTAGTAGAGACAGGGTTTCACCACATTGGCCAGGCTAATCTTGAACTCCTGACCTCAAATGATCTGCGTACCTCTGCCTCTCAAAGTGCTGGGATTACAGGTGTGAGCCACCATGCCTGGCCTTTTTTATTTTATTTTTGAGACAGAGTCTTTCTATGTTGCCCAGGCTGGCAGTGGCACAATCTCTGCTGACTGCTTCCCTTCCTGGGTTCAAACAATTCTCGTTTGTCAGCCTCCCAAGTAACTGGGATTACAGGCAAATGCCAAGACCACTAATCCTGGCCTGTTCAATTTATTTGGAATTTTAAAAATTATACACTTTTTATTGTTGTGTTTGAAAATTTTATAATTTTTTTGATGGGGCCATGTTGCCCTAATATTTTGTATACATTGTAATCTTTGAGATTTGGACATTAACAAAAAGCTACCTGTTACGATCTTTATAATGTAACTCTGTCCTGGCATAGTCTGAAATCAGTTGTCTTGGCTCGAGATTCTGGGAATTTCTCAAACATGTTTTTAAGATGTATCTTGTCTAAAATTTTGTGTTGTTAAATCGGCTTATTCATATTTCTTCTTAATAATCAGTAATCACTTGCTTCACCCATTCCGTGTTTGGGATACAGCAGTTTCTTTGCTTCTGTAACATTTACCTTTAGACTCAAAGTGTCATTCCAACGTATATTCATGTCCTGGGAGACATTAACCAGTATCTTAAAAAGCCCCTAGAAGCCAGAAATAAAGATGTATGTGCCAATATTTTTCTTGTTTTTTAAAAAAGGAACCAGGAGTTGGCAATTTGCATTTTTGTGTGCATGTGTGAGACAGAGTCTTACTCTGTTACCTAGGCTAGAGTACAACGTCATGATCCTGGCTCACTACAATCTCTGCCTCCAGTTCAAGCAATTCTCCCTCAGCCTCCAAAGAAACTGATTACAGGTACCTGTTACCATGCCTGGCTAATTTTTTGTATTTTTGTAGAGATGGGGTTTCACCATCTTGGCCAGGTTAGTCTTGAACTGTTGACCTCATGATCCACCTGCCTCAGGCCTCCCGAAGTGCTGGCATCACATATGTGAGCTACTGTGCCCAGCCCACAATTTACTTTTAAAGGCACAATGTTATACTGGAGAGCAGGAAGAGCTGTGTTGGGTATAAGTAATAGACTTTTCCTTTTCTTCCATGTGGCTCTTTGCATTGTGGGGTCCTTCACACACTTAACTCATTTATAAATTTTTTACAAATGTATTTTGGTCAGTATGTTTTTGTTACACTTATATGTCCAGGAAGAAATTACAGCTTGTGGTATTTTGCTATGTCATCTTGCTTATGTAGTTTGTATAATTTTATAGATTAGATTTGTATTTATCTGAGTCTAGCAATTGAAGTAATGTGTTTTTATTTTTTTCTTTCAGTTATATGTTCTCATTTTGCCCAAGACGTTTGGTCAGAGCAGAGCATAAAAGATTCTTTCCAAAAAGTGATACTAAGAAGGTATGAAAAATGTGGACATGACAATTTACAGTTAAAAAAAGGCTGTGAAAGTGTAGATGAGTGTCCAGTACACAAAAGAGGTTATAATGGACTTAAACAATGTTTGACAACTACCCAGAGAAAAATATTTCATTGTGATGAATATGTGAAATTCTTGCCTAAATTTTCAAATTCAAACAGACATAAGATAAGGATAAGAGATACTGGAAAAAAACCTTTTAAATGTATAGAATATGGGAAAGCTTTTAACCAGTCTTCAACCCGTACTACATATAAGAAAATTGATACTGGAGAGAAACGCTACAAATGTGAAGAATGTGGTAAAGCCTATAAGCAGTCCTCGCACCTTACTACACATAAGAAAATTCATACTGGAGAGAAACCCTACAAATGTGAAGAATGTGGCAAAGCCTATAAGCAGTCCTGTAACCTTACTACACATAAGATAATTCATACTGGAGAGAAACCCTACAGATGTAGAGAATGTGGCAAATCTTTTAACCACCCCGCAACCCTTTTTTCACATAAGAAAATTCATACTGGAGAGAAACCATACAAGTGTGATAAATGTGGCAAAGCCTTTATTTCATCCTCAACCCTTACTAAACATGAGATAATTCATACTGGGGAGAAACCCTACAAATGTGAGGAATGTGGCAAAGCTTTTAACCGTTCCTCAAACCTTACTAAACATAAGAGAATTCATACTGGAGATGTACCCTACAAATGTGATGAATGTGGCAAAACCTTTACTTGGTACTCAAGCCTCTCTAAACATAAGAGAGCTCATACTGGAGAGAAACCCTACAAGTGTGAAGAATGTGGCAAAGCCTTTACTGCATTCTCAACTCTAACTGAACATAAGATAATTCATACTGGAGAGAAACCTTACAAATGTGAAGAATGTGGCAAAGCTTTTAACTGGTCCTCAGCCCTTAATAAACATAAGAAAATTCATATTAGACAGAAACCCTACATAGCAAAGAATGTGGAAAATCTTTTAAATGTTCCTCAACCCTTAATAAGCATAAGATAATTCATACTGGAGAGAAACCTGATGAATGTGGGAAAGCCTTTAACCAGCCCTCGACTCTATGAGAATTTATATGGAACATAAACCTTACAAATACAAAGAATGTGACAAAGCTTTTTATTACACATAATTTATACTGGACAGAAACCCTACAAGTTTGAGTTTCACTCTTGTCACCCAGGCTGGAGTGCAATGACATGATCTCAGCTCATGGCAACTTCTGCCTCCTGGGTTCAAGCCATTCTCCTGCCTCAGCCTGCCGAGTAGCTGGGATTACAGGTGCCCAGCACCACGCCCAGCTCATGTTTGTATTTTTAGTAGAGATGGGGTTTTGCCGTGTTTGCCAGACTGGTCTCAAACTCCTGACCTCAGGTGGTCCACCCACCTCGGCCTCCTAAAGTGCTGGGATTACAGGCATGAGCCACCATGCCAGGCCACAAGTTCTCAATTCTTAAGAGACATGGCGATAATTCATGCTGAAGAGGAACTCTACAAACCTGAAAGATGCGACAGTGCTTTTACCAACACCTCCAACTTTTGTATACAGAAAAATAAATTAGTGTGAAACCTTAGAAATGTATGAAATGTGAGAATTAATGCTACCAAAACTCCTAGAAGTGTGAAGAATATGGCAAAACTTTTAATGAGTGTTTATACTTTATTTCACAGGAAAGCTTTTATCCTTGAGAAAAATTGTACAGATATAAAGAATATCGAAAAGCCATTAATGCCTACTTACATCTTATTCAAGAGAAGAAGGTTCACAGTTAATAAAGGCATTAAAAGTGCAATTACTGTCAAAAAATCTTTCAGGCCGGGTGCGGTGGCTCAAAGCACTTTGGGAGGCCGAGACGGGCGGATCACAAGGTCAGGAGATTGAGACCATCCTGGCTAACATGGTGAAACCCCGTCTCTACTAAAAAAATACAAAAAACTAGCTGGGTGAGGTGGCGGGCGCCTGTAGTCCCAGCTACTAGGGAGGCTGAGGCAGGAGAATGGCGTGAATCCGGGAGGTGGAGCTGGCAGTGAGCTGAGATCCGGCCACTGCACTCCAGCTTGGGTGACAGAGCGAGACTCCGTCTCAAAAAAAAAAAAAAATCTTTCAGAAAATATAAGCCTTTAAAGAAGAATATTCTGAAATCATCCATTACAAATATAAAGGGGGTTGTAGTACCTTTACTTGTATCACAGATCTTATTGCATACATTTGTACTAGAGGAAAACCCTGAAGCAGTTGCTCCAGTTTTGTTCAACATCATGGAATTTATATTGGAGAAGAGTCCTGCAAATATAATGAATTTGTAAAGACTTTTTTTCAAAATCTATAGCTTAGAAAACGCCACAGAGTTTATACTAAAATATTTTTGCAGATGCAGTAAATATGAAAAAATATTTAATTCAAAATTGATTCTATGTAAATATCAAATAATTTACACTAGAATAACTAAGGCACTGACACTTCAGACATTACACTAAATCAGTGTTGAATATAAAAACGAATCCACAACTAAAACTGTTTTTGTATATAACTCTAAAAGGAGATTTTCTGAAGCATTGTAATTACATTGAAAGTATACTTGTTTCCTCAAAAAAAAAAAATTGAAAAGTGAATAATGATGTAATACAGCTTTCAAATTTCTTTATGCTGTTATTTTATTCCTATTGTATTCACATGTGAAAACGTGATTATTTTTGCATTAGAGATACTACAGATTCTTTTTTTATTGGGTATTATGACTTTTTCTATAGAAGAGTAAGGATATTAAAATGTAAGGTGCCTGATGAAAATGTCAGTGGAGAGGCTCTTTGTAGTTAACTTATATTAAGTAATGTATAAGGTGGGGGTTCCTATTTGTATAATCCTAGCCTATGACTTAATGTTGACGCTTTGCTTTGTCTTTTGGATGGCCTAACCTACATTAACATATTGGCAGACCATTTTAAAACTTTTTTTCAAAAATTATAATGAATCACTTTATTAATAAAGATAAGGTGGGGGTTCAGAGTAATAGTTTTCTACATTATAGTGAGAAAAATTATAGTTAAAAGTATTAAATGAGAATATTATTTTATTGTACTTTTATGTAATAGAATGCAGTACATATAAAAATTGTTAAATTATGTGTGAACTTTATTTTTTTTTTTTTGCCTTGTTAAACTATAGACTATTGTGTGTTTAATGAAGCAATATTATGCCACTAACTTTAACCTATCCCACCTTAATCAAGGGTGTACTTAAAAGATGGTAACAATATACTATTTGGTGCATAGTGGAATAACATCTCTAGTCGTCACTTTGCCAGTGGCTTTCAACTGCAAATGAGTTGAAGAATATTGTTCCCATAGTTTAAATTTTTATTTTTTCTTATTGAAATTTATTATTAGTATTTGTGGGTATATAGTATGTGTATATATTTATGCCTTATATGGCATATTTTGATTCAGGCATACAATATGTAGTAATTACATTAGGGTAAATAAGGTATCCATCACCTCTAGCATTTATCCTTTGAATTACAGTGTAATTATACATTTTTAATTATTTTTAAATGTATAAATTGTTATTGACTACAGGTTTATTTTTATGGTCATAATAAAAATTATACAGAAAAATAAAATACGGCCAGGTGCAGTGGCTCACGCCTGTAATCCCAGCACTTTGGGAGGCCAAGGCAGGTGGATTGCCTGAGGTCAGGAGTTCAAGACCAGCCTGGCCAACATGGTGAAACCCCGTCTTGAGGCAGCGCTTTCATATTCCACTCTGCCAGTCCAGCTGAGGATCCGAGCCGCTTACAGGCTCCAAGGTGAGTTCTGTAAACAGTTGCAACTTGGCTCTGATCAGATAGTGAGGTTCGCATTTATTCAGTAAGACTAATTAACAAAAGTTGTGCGTAAACACCACTAGCGGGTAAAGATTAAAGGCCAGTTTCCCAGGCCTAAAGCAAACACCATTTGCAGGTATTAAGCTTCTGCCAAACCCCGAGTAGGAGGCAGTAAAGTACCCGTGGCAGCACAAAACTTAGTCTTAAGCCCACATAACTAACAGATTAGTAAAATAAAATTCCCACATTCCTTTGTACTTGCACCCTAATCTTTCTGGCTCCTGCACCCTGGCTGCCTTCAGCCAAGCAATCTGAAGCTATACAAACTCAGGCCTTTAAGACAGCTTTTGACTATTACTCTATTTTTAATATTTTTCCCACCAGCCTGATTGAACCCCAACACCCATCTCTGCTAAAAATACGAAAATTAGCCAGACATGGTGGCGCACACCTGGAGGCTGAGGCAGGAGAGAATCACTTGAACCCCAGAGGTGGAGGGTGCAGTGAGCTGATACCATGCTGCTGCACTCCAACCTGGGCAAGAGAGCGAGACTATTAAAAAAAAAAAAAAACTATAAATAGAATCCATACATTTCTGAGTCCTGAAAACTTATTAGTAAATTTTTATTATATAGTTTTATTTGAACATCTGGTCTGTCTGCAAACATATAGACCTTTTTTTTTTTTTTTTTTTTTTTTGAGATGGAGTCGCTCTGTCCCGAGGCTGGAGTGCAGTGGCGTGATCTCAGCTCCCGGGATCAAGTGATTCTCCGACCTCAGCCTCCTTAGTAGCTGGGACGCCACCATGCTCAGCTAATTTTTATATTTTTAGTAGAGACGGGCTTTCACCATGTTGGCAAGGATGGTCTCGATCTCTTGACCTCGTGATCCGCCCACCTCAGCTTCCCAAAGTGCCAGGATTACTTAAATAAAATTTTTAAAAATAGCATTTGAAAGCCGGGCATGGTGGCTCACGCCTGTAATCCCAGCACTTTGGGAGGCCGAGGCGGGCGGATCACAAGGTCAGGAGATCGAGACCACGGTGAAACCCCGTCTCTACTAAAAATACAAAAAATGAGCCGGGTGCGGTGGCGGGCGCCTGTAGTCCCAGCTACTCGGGAGGCTGAGGCAGGAGAATGGCGTGAACCCAGGAGGCGGAGCTTGCAGTGAGCCGAGATCACGCCACTGCACTCCAGCCTGGGCGACAGAGCCAGACTCTCAAAAATAATAAATAAATAAATAAATAGCATTTGATTACAACTATAGGTGAGACTATTAGTGTGAGGTCATATTTTTACTTATATTGACAAAACTATTCTATATATTGGATATTGACTTATATTGACAAAATAACCATAACAGTATTCTGACTTAGAATAATATTCCTTTTCTGCTGTATATTTGCAAGCTTTTGGTCAAATATTATGGGAGCTCAATAGAAATCAACAAGATGAATCTTTACCACAAGAATTACTGATGCATATACTTATTTTTCTTAAAATCCATTAGCTTTTTATGACAGATGGGTACTTTATTTTCAGTGTGTTGTTTATTACTGAGACGTGGCTGTCCTGCCAGAAAACTGCTATTCTCAGCTGTATCCACATTGACTAATATTGAGTGGAAGTGAAGGGGATAAAAGCAAATGTGTTTTCTCTGTATCTTTTTTCATCCATTGGCTGAAAAACAGGATGATGCAGAATATGGAAGAAAATATAATCCCTGAAAGATCTTGAAGAAGCTCTCTTAATCAGACAAAAAACCCCATAGGGAATTCTTTTTTTTTTTCATTATTGCACGCTGCTTCTATGAGTTTAAATTTTTTTTACATTTTACTTAGAAAGAAACCTAGGCTTTTGGCCAGGCATGGTAGCTTAAGCCTGTAATTCAGCACTTTGAGAGGCCGAGGCAGGTGGATCACCTGAGGTCAGGAGTTGGAGATCAGCCTTACCAACATGGAGAAACCCCATGTCTACTAAAAATACAAAATTACCTGGGCGTGGTGGTGCGTGCCTGTAATCCCAGCTACTCGGGAGGCTGAGGCAGGAGAATTGCTTGAACCCGGGAGGCTGAGACATGAGAATCACTTGAACCTGCGAGGTGGAGGTTGCTGTGAGCCGAGACCATGCCACTGCACTCCAGCTTGGGCAACAGAACGAGACTCCATCTCAAACAAAAAAAACACAAATGAAAGGGAAGGAAGTGAATTACTGACAATAGCTAAGGTATGGAATCAACCTGAGTGTCCATCAATAGGTGAATGGAGAAAGAAAACGTGGTATGTGTATACAATAAAATGCTATTCAGCCCTTAAAAATAATAAAGTCTTGTTATTTGCAACAATGTGAATCTGAAAGGTATTATGCTAAGTAAAATAACCCAGCACAGGAAAAATAATAATAATAATAATACTTTTTTTTTTTTTTTTTGAGATGGAATTTCACTCCTGTCACCCAGGCTAGAGTGCAGTGGCATCATCTCAGCTCACTGCAACCTCCACCTCCCGGGTTTAAGCAATTCTCCTGCCTCAGCCTCCCTAGACCTGGGATTACAGGCACACGCCACCATGCCCAGCTAATTTTAATGTTTTTAGTAGAGATGGCGTTTCACCATGTTGGCCAGGGTGGTCTCGAACTCCTGACCTCAAGTGATCCACCCACCTCAGCGCCTCAAAGTGGTAGGATTACAGGCGTGAGCCACCACACCCAGCCAGAAGCCTAGGTTTCTTATTAGAAGATAGACTGTGATACTGAAAGCAAATACAATGGGTAGACATTTTAAATTCCCCAGCCTACACTGAGGATGTAGATATAAACTTACTCTCATTCTGAGATGGTATGGGCAGATAGATAAACACGCACATAGGCCGGGCACAGTGGCTCATGCCTGTAATCCCAGCACTTTGGGAGGCCAAGGCGGGTGGATCACGAGGTTAGGAGATAGAGATCATCCTGGCTAACACAGTGAAACCCCGTCGCTACTAAAAATACTAAAAAATTAGCCGAGCGTTGTGGCGGGAGCCTGTAGTCCCAGCTACTCAGGGGGCTGAGGCAGGAAAATGGTGTGAACCCGGGAGGTGGAGCTTGTAGTGAGCCAAGATCTCGCCACTGCACTCCAGCCTGGGCGACAGAGCGAGACTCCGTCTCAAAATAAAATAATAAAAACACATACATAATTATATGAGTTTGCCTATGTAGTTATTTATGTATACAAAAGATATTAATCAACAAACATTTTAAATTTCCCAGCCTACACTGAGGATGTAGATATAAACTTACTCTCACCTATATGGATTCATACCATCTCAGAATGGAATACAGCCATACAATGTTATGTTTAAACATCAACAAAGCTTCACTTATAGCAGCACTCAACTAGACAAAGTGCCACAGCACACAGTTCCTTAAACCCATACTCTTCTCACAACACAAATGCTTTTGGTCCAAAATAAAAACTACCAATCACTATCCTAAACATGGCATTCCCTGCTGGTCCTTAAAAACTTCACAGAGGCTGAAGAAGGTAGCTCATGTCTGAGTAAGTCTGCATTTAGAAAACGTGCACATGCATTAATGTGACGTTTATGGAGCATGTACTATGTGGTCAGAAGCACGCTACAGAGCACTGTGCTGGAAAGATGACATAATGTGAATTTATCCTCATAACACCCTGGGAGGTGGGTACTAACTGTCTCATAATTCCCTGGATTTACAGGAAAAGCCTAGCATTTACATTTCTTCTTGTTCTCACTGATTCTTTTTTTTTTAATGCACGGAACAGGCCAGGCATGGTGGCTCATGCCTGTAATTCCAGCACTTTGGGAGGCCAAGGCAGATGGATCACCTGAGGTCAGGAGTTCAGGCAAATCAGGGGACCTGTAAAAGGCAACTGAGCAGGGATCCATGGGAAAGACATCCTCAGAGGCACAAGATTCTCCCATTACCTTTCAGTTTTGCTGATGCTTCAGTTAAAGTCTCCTGGGAAATGTCTGCAGTAGGTTCTTCCTCTGTAGTTCTTCTTACCTTGCCTGCAAAACAAACTATCTTTAGTGTCTGCATGTTTTTCCACTTCCTGTCCCCACCTGAGGAATGGAAAGCAAGGGCACAGTCCTTGCTCATGTTTTGGAGTGAAAGGAACATTGAAGGTCATGTGAGCTTTGCTGAGGCTTCTCCTGGCCTCATGTCAGATACAGCTCCTAACTCCAAGCAGCCCACCATAGCGTCCTTTTTTTTTGTGATGGGGTTTCGCACTTGTTGCCCAGGCAGGAGTGCAATGGCACAATCTCAGCTCACTGCAACCTCCACCTCCCAGGTTCAAGTGATTGTTCTGCCTCAGTCTCTTGAGTAACAGAGATTACAGTCATGCGCCACTAAGGGAGGAGACCACCCCTCATATTGTCTTATGCCCAATTTCTGCCTCCGAAGAAAGAAGTAAAAACTAAAAGGCAGAAATGAAATCCACAGGCAGACAGCCCGGCACAACACCCTGGGCCTGGTAGTTAAAGATCAACCCATGACCTAATCAGTTATGTTATCTATAGATTACAGACATTGTATAGAAAAGCACTGTGAAAATCTCTGTCCTGTTCTGTTCTGTACTAATTACTGGTGCATGCAGCCCTGTCACATACCCCCTGCTTGCTCAATCGATCATGACCCTCTCACGCAGACTCCCTTAGAGGTGTAAGCTCTTAAGAGGGACAGGAATTGCTCACTTGGGGAGCTCGGTTTTTGAGACGTGAGTCTTACCAATGCTTCTGGCCGAATAAAGCCTTTCCTTCTTTAACTCGGTGTCTGAGGGTTTTGTCTGTGGCTTGTCCTACTACATTTCTTGGTTCCCTGACCGGGAAGCGAGGTGATTAATGGGCAGTTGAGGCAGCCCCTTAGGCGGCTTCGGCCTGCCCTGTGGAGCATTCCTGCGGGGGACTCTGGCCAGCTTGAGTGACGCAGATCCTGACAGCACTCTAAGGTAGGCAATTTCCCCAATGGAACACCTTGCCAGAGCAGGATGGCAGGCCCTTGCAGAGGATCAACACAGTGGCTGAACACCAGGAGGGAACTGGCACTTGAAATCTGGACATCTGAAACTTGGGAAGACTAGTCTTTGGAACTTGCCCACTCCATTTGAGTGGAAGTGTGGCCTGATCACCCACGGCGTGCCTGTACTGGCACTTTGGTTTTTGTTTTTGACTTGACTTGGATTGCTTGATACTTTGGTTTTGGTTTTGACCTTGCTTGGATTTCTGGATACTCTGATTTTGGTATTGATTCTGGTTTGGTGTAAACTGTAAAAGTGTGTGTGTGCCCTTTTTACCCATTCTTTGTTTTGTGGTGTGCGGGTGGTGTGAGCATGGTGTTATGTCTCGAAGAAGCATGGGTCAGGCACAAAGTAAGCCCACCCCAGTATGAACTATGTTGAAAATTTTCAAGAAAGAATTTAAGGGAGATTACGGTGTTATTATGACACCAGGAAAACTTAGAACTTTTGTGTGAAATAGACTGGCCAGCATTAGAGGTGGGTTGGCCATCAGAAGGAAGCCTGGACAGATCCCTTGTTTCAAAGGTATGGCACAAGGTAACCTGTAAGCCAGGGCACCCAGATCAGTTCCTGTACATAGACACTTGGTTACAGCAGGTTTTAGACCCTCACCCCATAGTGGTGGAGAGAACAGCAGCATAAGCGGCTGGCACAGGCAAGGAAAGACCAGCAGAGAGAGAAAGAGGAAGAGACAGAGAAACAAAGAGACAGAGAGACAAAGAGGGAGTCAAAGAAAGAGAGAAAGAGACAGAAGTAAAGGAAAGTCAAAGAGAAAAAGAGACAGAAAATCAAAAAGAGAAAGAAAGAACTATACAAGTAGTTAAGAAACAAAACAAAAAGGCTGGGCATGGTGGCTCATGCCTGTAATCCCAGCACTTTGGGAGACTGAGGCAGGCAGATCACAAGGTCAGGAGTTCGAGACCAGCCTGATCAACATGGTGAACCCATCTCTACTAAAAATACAAAAATTAGCCAGGCGTGGTGGCACACGCCTGTAATCTCAGCTACTCGGGAGGCGGAGGCAGGAGAATTGCATGAACCCGGGAGGTGGAGGTTGCAGTGAGCCAAGATCACGCCACTGCATTCCAGCCTGGGAGACAGAGCAAGACTCCGTCTCAAAAAAAAAAAAAAGAAAGAAAGAAAAAAAAAAAAACAGTGTACCCTATTCCTTTAAAAGCCAGGGTAAATTTAAAACTTATAATTGATAATTGAAGGTATTCTCCATAACCCTATAACACTCCAATACCACTTTGTTGTCAGTGTAAACAAGGGCGTATTCCAAAAGCACTGAGGCCACTAAAAACCCGTAGCCTTCCTATCAAAAATCCTTAACCCAGTAACCCCCAGATAGCCCAGATGCATTCAATCTGTAGCAGCAACTGCTTTCCTAACAGAAGAAAGTAAAAAAATAACTTTTAGAGAAAACATCATTGTGAGCACACCTCACCAGTTCAGAAGTATCCTAAGGGAAAAAAAAAAAAAAAGCGTGATTTAACATTAACCACTGAAAATTCCCTTAACCCAGTTTTCCTAACAGGGCATCTAAATCTTAATTACCATACAAAGGTCCAACCAGACCTAGGAGGAACTCCCTTCAGGACAGGAGGATGGATGGTTCCTCCCAGGTAATTGAAGGAAAAAAAAAAGCCATCTATACGATTCTAAATTAATTTGGACAAAACAAGGTCTTATTAATAGCAAAGGATAATTAAAATCCCAAACTTACAAGGAGACGAGTCTTTCCAACTGATGAAGTCATAGCTATGAAGGTTTAGTTTTGGCCTAAAAGAAGGTTTAGTGACCAGGTGGTCGATCCTACCTGATCGGCCTCCAAGTGCTGGATACAGCTTGAGCGGGCCAGGTAACAAAGTAAGTTGCTAAAGTTAACATTATTCGTAATCTTTGTGGCCTTAGACAGTCTAGCACACAGACATAAAGGAAGTTCGCTTTGGAAAAGAATGGTTGGCTGGGCGCGGTGGCTCAAGCCTGTAATCCCAGCACTTTGGGAGGCCGAGACGGGCGGATCACAAGGTCAGAAGATCGAGACCATCTTCTGGCTAACACGGTGAAACCCCGTCTCTACTAAAAAATACAAAAACCTAGCCAGGCGAGGTGGCGGTTGCCTATAGTCCCAGCTACTCGGGAGGCTGAGGCAGGAGAATGGCGTGAACCCGGGAGGCGGAGCTTGCAGTGAGCTGAGATCTGGCCACTGCACTCTAGTCTGGGCCACAAAGCGAGACTCTGCCTCAACAACAACAACAAAAAAAGAATGGTTATCTTCGGAAAAAAGGGAAAAAAGGGGGGGCAGAATTTATGTAAAAAGAGTGTTATATGGTAAATTCTTGTCCTGAAATAAATTAACTGGTTGTTTAAAGAAAGAAATGTTTGTAATAAGTCAGAAAGTTGAGGCATGTCAAAGAATTGTCTGCGAAAGTTGTGAAAGAGCAAAATGTTATAAAAAAAAGAATTTATTCAAGAAATATTGTATAATTTAAAAGTAATTGGCTGGGCGCGGTGGCTCATGCCTGTAATCCCAGCACTTTGGGAGGCTGAGGCAGGCGGATCACGAGGTCAGGAGATTGAGACCATCCTGGCTAACACAGTGAAACCCGCCTCTACTAAAAAAAAAAATACAAAAAATTAGCCGAGTGTGGTGCAGGCACCTGTAGTCCCAGCTATTCAGGAGGCTGAGGAAGGAGAATGGCGTGAACCCAGGAGGCAGAGCTTGCAGTGAGCTGAGATCGTGCCACTGCACTCCAGCCTGGGCGACAGAGCGGGACTCCGTCTCAAAAAATAAATAAATAAATAAGTAGGCCTCCTGAATGTAAAACTATTAAAAAAAAACAGTTTATGTGAAAGTTGTATAAGGAAAGTAAAATATACCTTTGGTAAAAGGATTATAAGGAGGCATAAGAATGTAAATTTTTACCTACATTAAAAGGTTAAAAAATTATTGTTTTGAAGGTTTAAGCAAGTTTAAAAATGTTAATTGTAAAGAAAATTCTGTGTATAAACATATTAAAGTCAAAGGGGTCATCCAGTTTTTCTGTGAACTGGACATTAAAGTAAAAACACAACAGGTTTTTCTTAAAGCACTAATCTACCCTTTAACAAAAATTATAAAAGATTAAAAAGTCTGTAAAAATCTTACCTTATGGTCCAACATTAAAAATTGGATAAATATGTCTACAAGGTTTTATTAAAATTAAGTTTAACATTAATAACACACTAATATAAAGGTGAAATTTAGCTTATCTGGTATGAAAATCATACAAGAAGCATTATTAAATATAAAATGGTGTTTGGCTTTCTTTGGTTTAAAAACTAATAAAAATAGGTGCTAAAAGAAATTTCTCAGTAGAAAGGCACCAAGGACTATAAAGTCCACTGCTGATGTCCCCACATTAAAACAAGAGGTCATTTCCTTAGAAATTGTATACTTTATCTTCCACTTTCCTTTCCCTCAAAACTAAAAGTCTTTTAGCACATGTACCACCCCTAGAATTTCCAGTAAACCAGCACCAGCCTAAAGATCACATTTTCATCAAAAGATGAAAAGAAAGGAAACTCGAGCTAGCCTAGGAAGGACCCTACTTTGTGTTGCTAACCACCAAGACTGCTGAAAAAGGATGGACTCGTCACAACCAAGTCAAGAAAGCACCACCCCCTCCAGAGTCATGGGCAATAGTCCCAGGGGAAAACCCTACCAAACTAAAGCTAAGAAAACTTTTAACTCTTTCATTTATTTTAACTCTTTCATCCATTCTATTACTCTTTCTTCTTTCCTCACTCTATTGCTGACCATCTAGTTATTAACATAACCAAGTCAATTTTGTCTCAAACTATTGCATTTAATGCTTCCCTTGTTATACCCTGTGGGGACTTGCCAAGTCAAAGACAGTTCTCTACTTCAGAAAAGTACCTCTGTCCCTTCTGACTCTCCTCAGACTGGGCATCAGTAAATTAGGACCATTTAATCTGGGCAAATTT